AGGCAGGCGCGCAGGGCCCCGGGACGATAAAGCTTCTACTCCATACCGCTTTACTCCATGGTTGAGTGGAGGAAAAAGGAAACAATGCTTTTCCTCTTTGGATCCGGATTAAACTAGGTGAGATACCCTATCGATTACGTATACGGACATTTCCAATCAAGGTAAGTTGTCACGGGCAAGCAGTCGTGTTGGCTCTATTTGAATTGGAAGGGTGGGATCGATGCATGGCGCGCGGGGCTTAGTAAACTGCCCACGCAGAAACACGTCGCCATGGGACCCGCCCCCGGCCTGGTGGCTCTCTTGACCAGGTCGGCAGCGGCCCTTCTCTGCACCGACACCCGCTTCCTCGCCGACATCCTGTTCGCGCAGAGGCCCCTCTATGGCTACCGACACCTCCTGGTCCTGCACGGCAAGAACGCGCCGTGGGACGTCATGTGCAACGAGGATCTGCCCCGCCTGCACGGAAACTACACCGCCCTGATGCACTCCGACAAGACGAGCATGGGACACTGGGTGAGCTCTTAGACAACTCTGTTTTTAACGGAGTATAACTTTACACGGCACTACTCACAATACTCTCAATAATACCAGCGACGGGGCACTTTTTCTGACTCGCGGTTTGTAGCCCTGGCACATGATCGACATCGATTTGATCGTCCTGATGCTGGGAACCGGCAAGGCGGACATTTATAACACCACGGTCATTGCGAGCTCGACACTGGGAGCCTTCAAGCACCGCACGCCCATCCTCGTCGTCCACACCGCTGAGCTGGAGCCGGGGGGCGACCCCGACGGGCGCGCGGACGTGGACACGATCGTCGCGGCGCTCCGGGTCACGGGCTGGATGCACACGATCATCGCGGTGCAGAGGCACACCGGCAGCCGCCTGCAGAAGGTGCCGGTGTACCTGTCGCAGCCTGGGTTCGTCCCGGGGGCGCGCTGCGGCTTCGGGCCCTCCACGACGACGCTGGCGTTGACGTGGTCCGAGGGCGCGGCCCTCGGCGAGGACGCCGTCCGCTTGCTGGCGCCTCGCGGGCGTGTCCCGCTCAAGGGCTGCGACGTCAACGTGCTGCCTTTGGACGCGGCCCCGTTCGCATTATCGGTTGGTGGCTCTTTGTATGGCCTTGACATTGACCTGGTGAAGTTCTTCGCGGCGGACAGTAACGCAACCGTGCACTTTTTTCCGATCGAAAAGCCAATAGACGCAATGCTAAGAGTTAACAGATGGGATCGGCTACAGTTCGCGGTAAGACGAGACCGATACCCGGGGTCCAGGGTGCAAGGTGTAGCACATTCACATTCCACCGTGTTGCAGGCCAAGCCGAAGGATATGAGCAGCATCTACCAGAACATCGAAATGGCAGATATAATTGTAGGCGGCGTACTCCCCACCGTCGAGCGCACCAACAGCTTTGATCTGACTGTCCCGTACACCCAGGACAGTATCGACGTTTACGTGATGGCCAGGCTGCCCGTGGCTGCCTGGCGGTACCCGTTTGGGGTTCTGAGCCCCAGGGTGTGGGCAGCCGTGTGCGGAACCATGGTGGTACTGGGTGGGTGAGAAAGCTGAATTGCTTTATTTCCGTAAGCAAACTTTATTGTGGACTCTAATCTTTATAAAAATTGAACCACAGAGTTAAAGTTTTAATTTGTAACTTTTGATGTAGCCTTTTTAAGTTAATTAGTTACTCGACTTGCCCAACTTTTCTCCGGTATATACGATTAAAATCGGCCATATTTGAAAATTCATGACTTAAACTTTCACTTAAACATGTGTTTTGTTACGTCGGGGTAACTAACATTCGTTCGTGTTATAATTAGTAATAACGGAGGCCTGATGTGCTGGCTTGGGCGCAGCGGCTTGCCCACCGCAAAAGCGACCCCTAACACCAAACCACCAACTTGAGAACTCTCTTGCAGTTATGGTGCTGCGAGTGGTAAGGGCGGGTGGCGGCCTTGAGAACGCCATGAGCCTACACGGCATCCTCTTTGAAGGCGAGCCCCAGCCCAAACTAAGGTCGAGGACCAAGCAGGCAGTGGGGCTGGTCTTCCTGTGGACCGTCTTCTGCATGCACTTCAATTCGGGCTACCGCGCTAGCCTAGCCATGGCCTCCATCAACCTCATCGACAAGCCGGGACCAAGCAGCATCGAAGACGTCAAGGTGGGACCACAACCACGAATCCTGCCCTCCTCTCCTCAGACTAGAATTCCTTCGTCGGCTTGCAGAGGGTGGGCATCATCTATGACGTCGTCCCGTACCTCCTAAAGGACTACCAAGGCAAGGTCAAGGACATACAAATTGAGTTCTGCCGCACATACAAAAACTGCTCCAAGCATATCAGGAGGGACCCGGAGAACATGGCGATCATCACGTCAGAAATGTCCATATGGTACGTGCAAGAGTCACGCATGTTGCATGTAGCTGTTTTTGGCGTTTGATCCCGATTGTTTCTCGCAGGAGCGCGACGCCGAGGCACTTTCTTGACGCTGACCTCAGGAGTATTCTCGCGAAGAGGGAGAAGCTGGCCTCGTACTTCGTCAGCTTTCTGGTCAACAAGGGTTCCCCTCTCCTGCAGCACATCAACCGCGCACTGATCAAGTCGCGAGAATTCGGATTGGTCAGAAAGACGCAAATGCACGGGGAGATGTTCCTGAAACTTGTTGTAAGCCCAAAGACCTAGTCATGACGTATTAATAGTTTTCATGAAGCCAAGTGTAGGCGCTCGCTATAGTTCCGCCTTGGGTTTAGATTTAGAGTGGGTGAGTGGGGTGGCCAGCTACTATGTTTACACCGTGCGAGATAGCCCGGGCTGCGCTTGCGCAGTAGCGTTCTCGGACCCCCCACCACCGACCTAGCCAGCCCGCTCGCTGGCCCGGGCTAGCTACCCCCTCCACCGGTCTCCAGGCTAACGTTCTCATACTTCTCGAGATAAATAGCTCAAATATTTCTGGATAGAACATTTGTCTTGAGACTAACGATAAATTTCGTACAGATTTAAGAATTCTACGTTCAGTGACAACAATACGTGTGCGAGAAAAGAGGTTTATTTCCTAAAATACCTAACTTGAATTCTGCGAGATTTGAACACCGCGCCCGCTACTCTCAGCTGGCCCTGTGCGATGTAAACGCAACGCGGCCAGCGCTGGCCCGGGCTGGCGGGCTACGGCGTAAACATAGTAGGAGGCGGCACTATAGCGAGGGGCTTCCCCCACTCCTCGAGGGTGCGCTCGCTCACACTGCTGGTCGGCCGGCTGCCCAGGGGTAGGTAGTGGGGAGGAGAAAAAGAGGGGAGCCGCTTCTCGCTCGGAGTTGGGGGACCAGGCCTGGCGGGGAGGGAGCGCCGGCGGAACTATATAGCGAGCCCCCACTGTACCGAAAACCTCCCTTCAATCCGCAGGTGGGGTACGAGCACCGGAAGCGCGTGCGCAGGCGCGAGCGCGGCTTTCATCTCGTTAGCGGCGTCCTCGGCTTACTCCTGGCGGGCCTCGCCCTGGCCACCGTGGTGTTCTGCGGGGAGCTGGTGCACCACCGGCTCGTCAGGGCATGCCTCGGTGCACGCGCTCGGGCCGGACCGAGCTCGCTACAACTCCCACTTTGGTTGTACATTTGATCTGCATGGAATGCAAGATTTCACAGGATTTAAGGATTTCGCATACTAGTAATCTGAAAGAATTTCGCGCTTAGACCTCCCGGCGGCGGATTGCCGACTCCAAACATCACCCATGGGATTGTCCGCCGTTGATCCGCGCCCCCCGATCACGCCAAGCTCCACAGAGCTGGACCAGAGGATGCCGTAAAAAGTAACGGCCCCCGCAAAACAGATCCCCAACGTCCTAGTGTAATTAGATGACCAGACTATGATGGCGCGACGCGGGTGGTGCGGCCGGGCCCGATGGCGAATCGAGGCCAGACTAGTTCTGCGGGCCCAACCAGTCTCACCCAATATTACAAATAAAACACCAAGTTTCGGGGGGTTTTCCTGTAATTTTTCCCTCTTCTTTTTACGTCTACAAAATCGGGGGGG